GGAGACGTGTTCAAGGTCACCACGGACAGTGACACCCAAGAGGCCATCATCTTAGTGCAGAAGGTGTGCTGCCCTGAAGGAGTGGGGGAAGGGTGGGGGAGGGATGGGGCGGCAGGCCTTAGGGGCCGAGGCGTTAGGGAAGCCCCTGAGCAACCAAATCCGCCCCCCCACACACACACCTCCAGGTTTAGGTCTTCCCACAACCCAGGACCAAGCAAGGAAAACACTTAATGGCATCTTTCCCAGTTTGCAGCTGAGAGACTGAGGCATAGAGAGGTTAAGTGACTTCTCTAAGGTTGCACAGCTGGTTAGCAGAGCTGGCATTCAATCTAGGTTTGTATATGTGCTCCTCTTTTCTTTTCAATTGTTGAAATATGCACAGCAAAACATACAGCAATTCAACAGTTTTTACAAGTTGGCATTGATTACATTCTTCAGATTGCGCAGCCATTCCCACCCTCCCTTTCTGATCTGTCCCTACCCTATTGACACAGACCAATTTCCCCCTAAGCTTCCCTTGTAACCTTCCCAGTTACTGTTAACAATTTGATCCCACATAGTAAGTTCTTTAGAATAGCATAATGCTCACCAGCCATTCTTTACTAGTGAAGCCAGACTGTTGTTGCATTTAAAGAAGGCTTCAGGGATATTTTTGGCTTCACGTTTCAGGGTTAAAGATTATCTCAGGGCAGTAGTTGCAGGGGTTCATGCAGCCTCAGATGCTCTGGAAGTCTGAACCTGTGTCTGTGCGCTTGTGGACTCTGATCTGCCCCTGCAGCTCCATGCCAGGCCCGTCACACTTCTTTCCTTAATCCCCATGCCTCTCACTGGAGGGAGTGTCATTATCCCATTTTTACAAATGAGCAAACAGAGACTCAGAGAGTAAAGGGGCTTGCCTGAAATCACACCTGTGAGAGGCAGAGTTGGGATATGAACCCAGGTCTGATGAATCCAAAGTTCTTTCCTTCCTAACAGCCTCCCTCGCCCACTGACCGGCTCAGAAACCAGAAGCTAAAACTGCAAACTTGAGCATCCCTAGGGGAACGGGATGGAGGCCAGAAAAAAGGAAAATTCCTATCTTCCAGGACTTGGTCATGGGCTTGGCAACTCAGGGCTGCACTGATCTTTAACACTCTCCACTCTAAGTCCATACTCCAGTGGTGGGGGGCTATCTGAATCCCCTGGCACTGGCCCATAAAATGTTTGCATACCTCCAGGGATGGGGTGCACACTCCCTGACATTGTCCAGCTCTTCTGCTCCCACTTAGCCAGAACCTATCTCCCCTAAATCTGCTCCTCTCAGCCTGGGTTCTACTTCCAGGGATCCGTGAAATGTCTGCCCCTTGGCTTGGGACGGTCCTTTGTCCACCCAGCAAGCACGTAATGACCTACTTCTACCTGCCACTGAGGGTTTGAGGATAGGGGCCACTCCCAGTTCCTTCAGCTGCTTTCCAGAGGGTAATCCCGTGACAGCTATGAGGGCCACAACTCAACAGCACTGCCTTGTTCTCTGGGTCGCACAACCTTTCCACCTTTGATGGGGTGCAGTCTTAGCACTTTCCTATCGCTTGTTTTAGGGGAAAATATTGATGTTTTCCTTCTCTGACCTGTAAGGTTTCTGCCTTAGTGGAAGCTTTTGTAGATTTTACTGTAACAGCTAATACTTTTTCCTAAAGTGCCAGGCACCCTTCACTGCTTTTCATGTATTAACCCATTCTGTCCCTACAGCAACTCTCTAAGGTGCTGTTAAACTCACTCACTGCCGTCGAGTCGGCCCTGACTCATAGCGACCCCTCCTTGGGTTTCCGATGCAGTATCTCTACAGAAGTAGATTGCCCAGTCTTCCTTCAGAGTAGTGGCTGGCGGCTCAAACCCACCACGCTTCTGCTTCTGGTTTGAACCGCCAGCCTTCTGGTTAACAGTCAAATGCCTTAGGCACTTTGCCACCAGAGCTCCTGTAAGGTGTTATTATGAGCCATTTTACAGGTGAGAAACTGAGGCCCCAAGAAGTTAAGTAACTTACCCACTGTCTTGCATCTAGCACAGCAGAGCAGGGATGTGGGCCCAGGCAGTCTGGCTCCAAAATCTGCCTTCTTCAGTATTATGCTGTTTGCAGTCTTCAAAGCTCCATTTGTCCTCACTGCAAGATGAGCCCATTTCACAGATCTGGAATTGAAGCCCAGAGAGGCCCAGCATCACAGAGCAGTAGAGTCAGGCTCCAATCCCAGCCTGGAGACTCCAGCGCTTGCTTATCCCCGGTGCTGCCCCCCTTGAGCCCTCTGCTCTGGCAGTGACACCTGAAGTGTCTCTGTGGAGGCAGTGCTGGCTGGGAGAGCAGCGCCCCCGCCTGATTGATGACCTGGCTCCAGAGCCCATCCCTTACTCCCAGGCCAGGCCACTGCCTGCCTGCCTGCATCCTCATTGCCCAGGCAACAGGATGGAGGGTGGAGGCAGCCACTGCCAGGGGCTGGCAGGGACACAGGGACAAGAGCTGGGGAGTTATCAGGGGGAAAGGGAGGGTCCCTACACACAGGACAGGCACTTGTCCGTGGGTGTCTAGGAATGTCACTCTTGCCACTCAGACAGTACCCAAGCACGTAATGGAGGTGACTGCAGTTCTGCCACCAGCATTTCTTTTGGGTTTAAGACATTGTCTGTAGAAGGCCAGTGCCAACACATAGACATGGAGCTAATTCATCAGAAGGTCACCCATTAGCAGGGTGGAAGGAAGCACCGCTCCTCCTGCCTGGGTGTAGGCAGATCTAAGAGGAAAGCTCTAAACGCTATCTGGCTGATTCAGGCTCCAACTTACATTATTTACTCTATCCTATGGACCAGGGAAGGAGCCCTCGTTGCATAATGGTTAAGCACTCAGCTGTTAACCCAAAAGTCAGTAGTTCAAACCCACTCAGTGGCTTTGTGGGAGAAAAACCTGGCCATCTGCTCCTGCAAAGATTATAGCCTAGGAAACCCTATGGGGCAGTTCTGCTCTGACACATAGGATCGCTATGCGTCAAGATTGACGGCACCCCACAACAGCATGTACTGGGGGAGGCCTCTCTCATTTAATCCTCCCAACTGAGGCCCAGGGAGACTAAACAGGCTGCCATCGTTACACAGCTAGTCAACAGCAAAACCAGGATTTGAACCCAAGTCGGTGTGATATCGGCCTCAGTGTCCTTTGCTTTCATGGGGCTAAGAGCAGGGACCCTGGAGGCACGCTGTCTGGGTTCAGATCCTGCCTCTGCTGGAGACTAACTGCTAAGTGGCATTGGACAAGTTACTGAGCATCTTTGGGCCTCAGTTCCCTCATCTGTAAAGTGGGAATGGTAACAATATGAGCCCCTTAGGCCTGTGGTAAGATTATGTGAGTTAATACAGTTCAAGTGCTGGCACGTAGTGAGTGCTTGGTAACCCAAAACCTAAAACCAAACCCACTGCCATGGAGTTGATTCTAACTCATAGCAACCCCCATGGGGTTTCCAAGGTGGTAAATCCTTATGGAAGTAGATTGCTCAGTCTTCCTTCTACGGAGTGGCTAGTGGGTTTGAACCACCAACCTTCTGGTTAGCAGTCAAATGCCTTAGGCACTGGACCACCAAGTGCTTAGTAAGTGTCTGTTAAATAAATTCAGGAAATCCCCCAGCAGACTGTGCTGGGAGGTGAGAAGTCTGGGTGCACAGGTCAGTACCCTCCTAGCCCTCACTGGCTGTGTATCCCTAGGCAAGACCTTCTCCCCTCAGGGCCTCAATTTCCCCACCTGTAACCCCTTACTAAAATTTACTGCCCTCCATCCGACTTATAGTGACCCCTCTGTGGGCTTCTGAGGCGGTATCTCTACAGAAGTAGATTGCCCAGTCTTCCTTCCCAGGAGTGCACCCACCAGCCTTCTGGTTAGCAGTCAAATGCCTTAGGCACTATGCCACCAGAGGTCCCAGGGCTGGTATTGGTGGTGCACCCCTGCTGGGTCACAGTGTGTGGCTTTGGGCCAGTCTGGCCCTCTCTGGGGCTACCTCCCTGACTCAGAGACCAATAGGGCTTGGAATCTGCCGGTTGGGCTGGGGTCACTGTTGAAGCAGACCCAGCCCACTAACTAGCCTTCTGTCCCCTGACCCCCAGCGCCTGGACTTCGAGTCCCAGCCAGTGCACACCGTGGTCCTGGAGGCCCTCAACAAGTTCGTGGACCCCCGCTTCGCTGACCTGGGCACGTTCCGCGACCAGGCTATCATCCGCGTGGCTGTGACCGACGTGGACGAGCCCCCCGAGTTCCGGCCGCCCTCCGGCCTCCTGGAGGTGCAGGAGGACGCGCAGGTGGGCTCCCTGGTCGGCGTGGTGACGGCGCGGGACCCCGATGCCGCCAACCGGCCCGTCCGGTGAGACCCCCGCCCGGGGCCGACGCCAGCTGCCTGCTACCCCGCCATCGCCCCGCGCCCTGACTGCAGGGCGGAGGGGGAGGGGACTGCGGGCGGGGAGGGGGAGGGGAGGCGGGGAGAGACGCAGAGATGGAGAGACACGGGCAGGGAAACAGAGCGCGGAAACAGGTGGTGAGACAAAGTCCCAGAGACAGAGAGGGGGCCTCAGGAGGAGGAGGAGGGAGAAGCAGGGTGACCGACAACTAGCAGTGCCGCAGCATGTCCCCCTCTCTCCATGGACACGCCCTCTCTCCGTGCTCTGAGGCCGTCTCATCCCTCTGCCCAGGGCTCCCAAAGCCATTTTTCCAGCCCCACCTCTCCCTCCGCTCCCCAAGTGGAATCCGTTTAGACACCTTAAACTAACATGTTCAGAACTGAGCCGCAGAAAAGCAAACACACCACTCCTCCTTCAGTCAGCCCCACCTCCCTGATGACAGCCCCACCCCAACAATTGCTGCGGGGCCCAGCTGCTGGAGACGCCTCTTTCTCTCACACACCAGTTGCCTCCGTGTCCACTCCAACTCATGAGGACACCCAGCTCCTGACAACCCTGTGTGAGTCCGGGTAGAACTGTTTTCAGTGGTCAGTTTTTTTAGACGTTGATGGCCAGCCCTTCCTTCTGAGGCACATGGGGTGGACTCGACCCTCCAACCTTTCAGTTAGCAGCTGGGCACAGGAACCAGCTGACCACCCTTTCTTTCACACCTTCCTCATCAGCAAATCCTGCCATGTCCTTAAAAATATACCTTAAAATCCTTAAAATACCTTAAAATATACCTTAAAATCCATAAAATACCTTAAAATCCTTAAAAGTATACCTGAAATCTCACCACTTCTCTCCACCCCCAGCAGCTACCCTGGCCCAGGGTGCCATTTTCTCACTCCTGGACCTTGGCAGGTACCTCCTCTCTGGTCTCCCTGCTTTTGTCCTCGCTCTGCTTTACATGGAATCAACCCCGGAGCCAGACTGACGCTGCTCAGTGGGCAAGGCCTAGCTCTGCTCAGAACGCTCCAAAGGGGCCTATTTTGCCCAGAATAAAAGCCCCCACAATGGGCCTCATTCCCCACGTGATCAGGCTGCCCTGCGACTTCTCAGACCTCACCTCCCCTTCCGAGTTCACTCTGCGCCAGCCCCACAGGCCACCTCTTCCCTGCTCCTCAGATCCACCAAGTCACCTCCCTCAGGACCTCAGCAGCTGCCAGGCCTCTGCCTGGAGTGTTCGCCCCGGTATCTCCATGGCTCCTTACTTCCTGCACCCCACACCATCTCAGTGAGGCCTGTCCTGTTCACTCTTTCTAAAATTCCACCCCCTCCCCGAGCCCTCACAGCCCATCTTAAGTTTCCCTCATTGGCCTTGTCACTATCCAACATGCGACTTATTTTTCTGATGACACTGTATGTCTCTTCTACTGAAGTATAAGTTCCATGAGGGGAGGGATTTGCGTCTGTTTGTTCACAGCTGCATCCTCAGGGCCCAGTCTTTTTTGCCCGGCAGTCCGTGGATACTCACTATGTGGTGAGTGAATGGAATGTAGAACGAGAGGAAGACTGAGCTAAGACACAGGGAAACAGGCCCCGAACTGTAGAGAGGTCCCCAAGGAGAGGGAGAGATCAGAGAGAGGAGAGCTGGAGGAAAGGGGCTGAGAAAAACCAAGACACAGAGAGGCCTCACTGGCAATGTAGAAACAGGAGGCTTAGAGAGAATCTCAGAAAGGGACAGAAAGACACAGACAGAGGGAGGGACAGAGAGGAGGGGTGGAGACAGGAAGTGGGAGGAGAAGTGCTACCTACACTGTTGGTATCCCTGGAAGGGTTTGGGGGCTGCAGGGATCAGGGAGGGAGGGAGTCCCTGACTGCTTCACAGGATGGAACAAGGTAAAAGGACAGATCGGTGAGGGGACAAGAGTTACAGCATAAAGTGACTCAGAGGAGGAGGTGGAGGTCAGGAGTGGCCAGGCCTGAGTGGGTGGGGAAGAGGCTCTAGGGAGCTAGGCTTCCTCTCTCAACCTCCCCCCCACCCCCCGCACGCAGTCAGTCAATGAATGGTTCCTGAACCGACTACGTGCCCAGCTCTGTGCCAGGCCTGGGGAAGGGGGGAGGTTACCTTGAGGACCTCCATAGTGTATGATTCCAGAAGGTAGCATTCCCATTGTCACCTTTGGGAATGGCTTCTGGAGTTGTGCAGTGCACAGCCTGTGGCAGTCCTATGTGAAGAGACACAAGGATGCCATCCTATGCAAGTGTCCATAGGCTCTCAGGGTGGGAAATATCCCCAGGGGTCTGGGAAGCCTTCCTGGAGGAGGTAGGAATTGAACTGAGCTGGACGTGTGGGTCTGGTGCAGGGAAGGGCATTCTGGGAGGAGGAGCAGCCTGCAGACATATGGAGGCAGAGGAGGGATGGTGAGCCTGTGAGCAGAGTGGACAGTGATGGTTATACTGGAGAGATCAGAGAGAGGACTGAGGGGGATGGGCAGGGAAGGGGAAAGTGAGCAGGGTCTCCAGGACAGCCTGAGGGGCTCAGACCCTCTCCAGAAGCCCAGGGCATCTTTGCTGCCTCCACCCCCCTCACTGCCAAAACCGTCCTGCCACTGCCTCTGAGCTGCTGCCTCTGCCTTCCACCCTGCCTGTCTTTCTAGTCTTTAAACACCCCTTGGCCTCTGGCCTGGCCTCTGACCTCTACTGGGAGGGCATTGTCACATCAGGAAACCAAGACCCAGAAGAAAGGAGGAGGAGGGCTGAGCCGGCCCACTCCCCTTCTCAAGCTTCTGTCTGCTCTGGCTTCCTTCCCTCTGCTTTCATCTGCACTGAAAGGGCCAACTTTGAAACCCACAGCTCGACTTCTTTCATTTCTCTCTGCCGGCCCTTCCCTGGGGCTCCTCAGATGTGAGGGGTGGTGAGTTGCTGAGACAGGTCCAATTTAGCACCACAAACATTTACCCAGCTCCTCCTGCATGCCCTGCCTGCAGCCAGGCCTGAGGACAAGAAATGACTCAGCCAAGGGCAGAGCCCAGGGTTGGGAGAGCTCCCAGCCTAGAGGTAGAAATGGGAGGGCAGTGAGGGGCAGTGAGAAACAGAAGAGATCCTCCCCAGCCACATGTGCTGCCCAGAGCCCAGCTCCCAGGCTCTAAGGGTCATTGACTCAGTCACCAACTTTGCACTGAGTCGTGCCCACATTGTTCCCTGCAACAGGAAAACAGCAGTGGTAAGACAAGATCCCTGCCCATATAGAGTTTGACTTCCTTGGGTGGATGCATACCATATGCAAGTCAACAAATGATTAAACGGGATAATTTCAGATATAGGCTGTGAAGAAGGTAAAACAGGGGAACTGGATAAGGGGAGATTGGGGCTCAAGGGGCTACTGCCAATTGACTGGTCTGTTTTTGTGGTTGCTAGGTGCTGTTAAGTCATCTCCCACTCATAGTGACCCTGTGTACAACAGTACAAAACACTGCCTGGTCCTGTGCCAGCCCTATACTCCTTGCTGTACCTGAGCCCATCGCAGCTACTGTTGTCAATCCATCTCATTGAGGGTCTTCCCCTTTTTCATTGACCCTCCACTTCATCAAGCATGATACCTTCTCCAGGGAATGGTCCCTTCTGACACCATGAGCAAAGTAGGTGAGACGAAGTCTGGCTATTCTCTCTTCCAAGGAGCATCTGGCTGCACTTCTTCCAGGACAGATTTGTTAGTTCTTCAGGCAGTCGATGGTACTTTCAGCATTCTTCGCCAACACCACAACTCAAAAGCATCCACTCTTCTTCAGTCTTCCTTATTCACTGTCCAGCTTTCACATGCAAATGAAGCTATTGAAAACATCATGGCTTGGGTTAGGTGCACCTTAGTTTTCAAAGAGACATCTTTGCTCTTCAGCACTTGAAAGAGGTCTTTTGCAGCAGATTTGCCCGGTACAATATGTCATCTGATTTCTTCACTGCGGCTTCCATTGGTGTTGATTGTAGAACCAAGTCATACGAAATCTTTGACAACTTCAATCTTTTCTCAATTTATAGTGATGCTGCTTATTGGTCCAGTAGTGAGGATTTTCATTTTCTTTATGTTGAGATGTAATGCATACTGCAGACTGTAGTCTTTAATCTTCATCAGTAAGTGCTTCAAGTCATCTTCCTTTTCAGCAAGCAGGGTTGTGTCATCTGCATAGCGTGAGTTGTTAATGAGTTCATCCAATCCTGATGCCACTTTCTTCTTCATATAGTCCAGCTTCTCAGGTTATTTGCTCAGCATGCAGATTGAATAAGTATGGTGAAAGGATACAAGCCTGATGCACTCCCTTCTTGTTCCCTTGTTCTATTCAAATGGTAGCCTCCTGTTCTATGTACAGGTTCCTCATGAGCACAATTGAGTGTTCTGGAATTCCCATTCTTCTCAATGTTATCCATAATTTGTTATGATCCACACAATCAAATGCTTTTGTATAGTCAATGAAACACAAGTAGACATCTTTCTGGTGTTCTTTGCTTTCAGCCAAGATCCATCTGACATCAGCTATGATTTCCCTCATTCCACATCCTCTTCTGAATCCAGTTTACATTTCTGGAAGTTCTCTGTCAATATACTACTGCAACCGTTTCTGAATCATCTTCAGCAAGGTTGCCTGTGATATTAATGATACTGTTCAGTAATTTCCACATTCTGTTGGATCGCCTTTCTTTGGAATGGGTACAAACATGGATCTCTTCCAGTCAGTTGGTGAGGTAGCTGTCTTCCAAATTTCTTGGCACAGATGAGTAAGTGCCTCCAGTGTGGCATCTGTTTGCTGAAACATTTCAGTGGGTATTCCATCAATGCCTGGAGCCTTGTTTTTTGCTAATTCCTTCAGTGCAGCTTTGACTTCCTCCTTCAGTACCATTGGTTCTTGATCATGTGCCACCTCCTGAAATGGATGAACATCAACCAGTTCTTTTTGGTACAGTGACTCTGTGTATTCCTTCCATCTTC